ACTGTGGTAAGTTATGTTTCTACTGTTGTGTTGTAGGGGCACCAGTGTTTTTCAACAGAACAATCATGAATGAAAAGTTTATATAGTACAATTATATACTCACCGCATCTATATTTTCAGAATGCACAAAGGCAAAATGCTGAAACCAGTAGAAAATATATATGCAAATGGATGAAAATAAGAAAAAAAATTACCACAGACAACAAATGAACCAGAAATTTTTCCTATGAGAATATCCTCAGGAAGACTCTACAGGAGAATACATGAAGCTCTGCACCACTGCCTTCACTAGGAAGGATGTGTGATGACAGGAAAGTAGAAATAGCATTAATGCCCAAGTGTCACAAAATGAAATAGGATAATTGCAAAATACGTTCATTGATAAAGCACTGTCTCAACGTTAAATGCAACTAAATTAATGTGTGTTCCTAGGAAATTACTCTGAATATCAGAAATAGTGAAGAACAAGAAGGTGTATAAAAACTATACATATAATAAAATGTATAATTTTAAATTATAGTTTAAAAAATAATAGGGATTGGAAGGACACCTTGAAATGATTACAAATTTCCCCCATGGAGATAATGAGGATGACCTAGGATGACAGATAAAGAGGACACTAATTTCTACCTATAGATGCATTTCTTATTAAAACTGAAAAGAATCTGTGTTATGATACTACTTGTAAAATTATTTCTGGATTGCGACTATGTGGGTAATTGACTTTCATTTTGATTTTTATGAAATTTATTTTATTTATTAAATTTAGAAAGTGGAAATGCTAGAAGTGGGGAGAAAAAAACGGTAGAAATATATCCAAGCAATAATCAGTTAATAAACATCTGTATGAAAACAATTTCTTCCCCAATTTTTTTCTGTTCATTGTACACTAACATTTTCTTTCGTTACCAGTAACAAAATCAGTATGTCAGCATAAATCTAAATTACTTTTTTTTGGGGGGGGGGGGTGGAATCTAACCCTTTATTTCACTTCAAAAGTTCAGCTTTGTTTTGTTTTGTCTTTTAAATATGAAATTTATTGTCAAATTGGTTTCCATACAACACCCAGTGCTCGTCCCAACAGGTGCCCTCCTCAATACCGATCGCCCACCTTCCCCTCCCTCCCACCCCCCATCAACCCTCAGTTTGTTCTCAGTTTTTAAGTGTGTCTTATGTTTTGGCTCCCTCCCTCTCTAATCTTTCTTTTTTCCTTCCCCTCCCCCATGGTCTTCTGTATCAGCAGGTGGAGAATTTCCTTTAGTGCTTGAGCCTGTGGACAGTGTGGAGGCCACAGTTATGACTAGTGCCTCCCAGCATCTCAGTGTTTTGTCCAAACATCAGGTGATGATGTACTTGTGCCTAGGGGCAGTCTGGTAAAGAAACGCAGATATAGAGGTGAGAGTTGGGAGGGCCCCCAAGGATTTCCAATGGCATAGGAAAAAAGGAGAAAAATGCAATAAAATGGAACAGCCTGAGATAATAATGTTAAAGTTCAAAGCTCCTCATAAGGCTAAGGATGCTGTTTTTTTCTGCATGTGTGTGTGTCTATGCATTGGCCTCATTCATTATTTTTTTAAGGTTTTAAAAATCATTAAAATGAATTGTAAGCATGCAGGTGCTATAACACAGGCATCTTTGGAAAGTCCTGTAGGTAGAGCTGACTCAATGTTCTATTTTCTCACTGGTTGGTTGATGCCCAATAGGATTATCCAATTAGCATGCATAATCCTTCTTATCGAATCAGAAGAGGCTTCCAGGAGTTCTCATTGGACTACAATGAATATTACTGGGCTGCTCTTGCCTGGACCAGAGGCTTTGTTTTCTCCAGTGCCTGGCTGGTTTGCTCTGAGTACTGCGATCTGCTACTTCTGGTGGGTGCTCAGAGCTTCTGCCCTAATCCTGAGGAGAGCAAGGTGAGGAGCACGGAGAGGCAGCAGGAAGGGCAGCCCTGAAAGTGCATGAGGTACAGGAGCAGTTTCCCTTACATGGAGAACTTTCCTGGGTCCACGTGCTTCTAAGTGCCCTGAACCCTCGACTCCCAGAGCCCCTTTGTCAACATCTGTGAGCATAAAGCCTGGACAGGATCCCCTGGAGGGCAGAAGGCAGGAAGAATACATTATGACATGATGTGGTGTGTGTGTGTGTGTGTGTGTGTGTGTGCGTGCGTGTGCGTGTGTGTATGTGTGTGTGTGTGTATGTGAGTGTGTGTCTCCCTGGAATGGCTGCTGCTGTGGGAGGCCCCCTGCAGATACTGCGTGGTTCTGGTAGGTCCTTCCTTCAGGTACTGCTGGTTCTAGTGGTCCCTCCTGCAGATGCTTCCTGGGTGTGCTGGTGCTTTCTCCAGGTGCTGTCTGGTGCCTCAGCATCTCCCAAAGGAAGGGACACCTGAGTTCCCACGGGGAAGAAGGCAGCTCCAGTGGTGCTCATCATTTCCAGGATCCAGGTCTATCCCATCCAGACTGAACTGGGCTGGGGGTCCCCTTCGGTGTCAGCGGTTCTCCAGTCAATCCAGAGAAGAATGAGGCTACACGGCTGTCTTGTGCTTCTTGATTGAGAGAAACGCCAGATGAGTCCCTTCGTAGGATGGGTGCGAAGAATAAGACACCTTGCCATTCCATTGTTCCTTCTCACTGCTTTCCAGAGTTCTACTTTGAGTGATCCCCATGTTACTTCCAGGGTTTATATTGGTGCTTACTGGAGAGACCAGAGAAAGTGTGTCTACACCATCTTGTCCAGGCAGGAAGTTCCCATTCACAGCATTTTTACTGACCCCGGATTCTTCTCCCATTCTGAGCCTATTTATGTACGTTGGTTTTGAGGGTCCTCCAACACAGCAGTCACAACATATACTTCCTATACCCTTTGTCGTTTTGAACTGTACTTGGTTGCCATGGTCTCCAAGTTACACGGTGCTGGAAATAAAGAAGCTGTGCTTGCTACCTTCATCAAAATATAGCAACATCAGCACATTACTGACAACACCCCATTTTATTTGACAGGAAAATTAGGGTTCCAAAAAGAAATCTCCACTTTCTTTGATGCAGCTTATGAATGATTCCAAAAGCTACATCTCTCACTCCCATCTCTGGATTCTCTTTCAGCCCCTCAGATTCCACCTGGACTGTTGGCTGGAGTCCAGCTTCCTTCCTCAGCAGTGATGTTCTCTTTACTTATCGCTATGCCTGGTGTTGGCTTTTTCTTTTTTCACGACCTCCTGCTCTGAACTCCCTTATTCCAATGAGTGATGGGGTATGTAGCATTTGTCCACGTTTCACAGGAAGGTTGGGAAAATTTTAAATGTCACAACACTTAGCTTTAAACCTCCTAAGATTAAAAAAAAAAAAACTCCTAAAATTTTAGAAAAGATCAAAACTTAGGCCTGTATTATTTTTGCCAGAAGCCAATCTTAGAGGGATTTCAGGATCTTAGAAATGTATGAATAAAGTTGGGAAACAGATGAGGCATAGACAAAAAAAGTATTGTTGCTGTGACTTTCTCCAGAGTGTTAGATGGCCTCTGTGTGAACCTTGACTTCCTCATCAGTTAGTGTGGTTAGTCAGTCACTAACCATGGGCTGTTTCCTGTCGTTATAGGGCAGGTTGTATTTCCTAATCTATCGTAACAAAAAGCAGGTCAGTGGGCCCTGGAAATCAGCAGCAGGGACCGGAGGGATAGATCACAAAGGGAGACAAGGAAAATTTGGGAGAGATGGATGCTCATTATGTTGACACTTTCACAGAACACGTGTGTGTGTGTGTGTGTGTGTGTGTGTCACACATATGATATATGTTTCAACCAAGCAGTTCTGAAACCCAAAGCAAAATGTATCAAGCAGCTTGTTTACAAATAAATACTAGATAGAGACCTGAGATTTTTATGAGATAGTAGAATAGGAAACATGTACATCATCTCTGAAAATATGCCCAAGACTTAGATCCATATACAGTATGGGTGAACAAGATGAGACAAACCCCACAGGGGCATTCTAAGGATGGTCTGTGTAAGCCAAAGCAGGAAGGACCGCCAGGACCAAAGCCAGATTTCCCCAACCTGTACAGTGAGGGAGGGTGTCTTGAGTGTGGTGGGTGTACACTTGGCAAAAGGGGGCGGTGAATCTTCCTGGTCAGGTGTAGGTTCCCACTGAAGGATTCTGAGGAGGGTCCAGGGATGTGAAGGCCACTTGGGGGCAGACGCTGTGTCTGAGGCAAGACTGGGAACAGCAGTGACTAACTAAACATGGCCTGTGGTCACGAGGCAAGGGTAGATGAGTAGTAGATCATCCCAGGTAATGGACTGCAGGAAAGGGGATACGAGGCCTCACTTGTATGAAACAGGAGTTATTAAAACGGGGTTGTTTCTGGCCCTTTCACACCTGCTGCATGACCATGGGCTACATGAGGTTTCCTATTAACTTTGCAGCTGGATTTATCTGTATTTATCCTCTTACTTTGATTATCAGCTGAGATGATTTTTGTTTCATGGTTTTTATTTTCCAGTCCTTGCTGATTTCATATCTCACACGTGGGAAGCTGTAGGAAGGCAAAGTGTCAGCTGGTCAGGGAGCACTGACATACTGCCTTGCTGGTGCAGGGAAAGCTGAGAAGGCCCCAGGCTGCTAGGAAAAGGAACTGACGCTGGATAAAGCCAGAAAGGTCAACGTGCCATAAACCATTAAAACTGCAGATTAGAGGCAATCGACACAGTGTCAGGAGATGAGAAAGAAAGCGGCTCAGGAGGGCCCAGTCTAAGACGGAGATGAGAAGGACCCGGAAGTCCGCTCTTCCAGGGACACGCAGAATCCACGCCTACTCATACAGCAACGTCTCCGGAGGAACTGAGCATCAGGACAGACAGACTCTGGCAGTGCGGGGACCCCACTCCTGGTTCTGGGAACTGCATGGGGAGGGACAGCAGGGAGGGGCTGTGTGTAGATCCACCTGTGCAGGACACAGAAACAAACCCACAGTTTAAAATGGCAACTAGAAGGTAAAGGAGCTCACCCTTCACCAGATACTGGGGGGCTTGCTGGAACTGTCCCTGGGTCCTGTTTCTCCTGCAACTCAGTAGCGCTGAGTCCTAGCCCACACCAGGCCCAGATGCCCTGGAGGCCAGAGAAGGATCAGCAGAGCAACTAGGCTGTAAAGGAAGCAGAATTCTAAGTCTGCCAAGTCGTGAGGGATCCACAGAGTGTATTGGGGAGCAGGTGGAGGAGGGGAGGGGAGGACGTAGAAGGGAGCTGGAGAATGAGGGAGGAGGACAAGGAGGGGAGGAGGGGGAGGATAGGAGGAGTGGAAAGGAGAGGAGGGGAGGGGAGGAGGGAGAAGAAGCAGATGAGGGCAGGGAAGGTAAGAGGGGGAAGTGAGAGAAGATGGGAAGGGGAGGATGGGGAGAAAGAGGGGGAGTAGGAAGAAGAGGTAGAGGAGGGGAAGGGAAGAGAGGGAGTATGGGGAGGAGGAGGGGAGGTATCAGAAGGGAGGAGGAGAAGTGGGAGAGGGGAGAAGATGAGGGGATGGGAGGGGAGACAATGAGGAATGAGGACGGGGGAGGAGGGGTGGGCAGGAGGAGGAGTACGAGGAGAGTATCTATTGCTGCAGATCAAAGAGCTAAGAAATAGTCATGGTGAATTAAGAAATTCTGTAAATGAGAGGCAAAATAAAGTAGATACAGTGGCAGCAAGGATGGAAGAAAAAGAGGAGACAACAGGTGAAATAGAAGATAAAATTATGTAACATGATGGGGCACTTGGGTTGCTCAGTTGGTTAGGTGACCGACCTCAGCTTAGGTCATGATCTCATCGTTCTTGAGTTGGAGCCCTGTGTCGGGCTCTCTGCTGACAGTTCAGAGTCTGGAGACTGCTTCAGAGTCTGTGTCTCCCTCTCTCTGTTCCTCTCTCCCACTTGTGCTCTGTTTCTGTCTCTCAAAATAAATGTTAAAAATTTTTTTTAATTATGTAAAATGATGAAGCTGATAAAAAGAGTGAAAGGAAATTACTAGATCATGAGGGGAGAATTAGCTAAATTATTCCATGAAACAAAATAATATCCATATCATAGGAGTGCCAGAAGAAGAAGAGAGGGAGAAAGGGGCAGTAGGTTTACTTGAACAAATTATAGCTGAGAACTTCCCCAGTCTGTAGAAAGAAACAGGCATACAAGTCCAGGAGGCACAGAGAACTCCTTTCAAAATCAACGAAAATAGTTCAACAACGCAACATGTCATAATGAAACTGGAAACATACAAAGATAAAGAGAGAATTCTGAAAGCATCTAGGGACAAACAGGCCTTAATCTACAAGGGTAAACACATAAGGGTAGTAGCAGACCTGTCCACTGAAACTAGTTTGGCCAGAGGGGAGTGGCAGGAAATATTCAATGTGCTGAATAGGAAAAATATGCAGCCAAGAATTCTTTATGTAGAAAGGCTGTCTTTCAGAATAGAAGGAGAGATAATGGCTTTCTGAGACAAAGAAAAACTGAAGGAGTTAATGACCACTAAACCAGCCCTGCAAGAGATTTTAAGGGGGACTCTGTGAGTGGAAAGCAGGAAAGACTACAAAAGACTATAGACATCACCACAAACATGAAACCTACAGATAACACAATGACACTAAATCTGTATCTTTTAATAATAACACTGAATTTAAATGGACTAAATTCTCCAATCAAAAGACATAAGGTATTAGAATGGTTAAAAAATCAAGATCCATATAGATATGCTGCCTACAAGAGATTCATTTTTGATCTGAGGACACCTCCAGATTGAAAGGTGATGGAGAACCATTTATCATGCTACTGGTTGTCAAAAGAAAGGTGAAATAGCCATACTTACATCAGACAAACTAGATTTTAAACTAAAGACTGTAACAAGAGATGAAAAAGCATTATATCATAATTAAGGGATCTATCCATCCAGAAAAGCTAACAATTATAAATGTTTATGCCCTCAACTTGAAGCACAGAAATATACAACTCTATTAATCACAAACATGAACACATGTATAGATAATAATACCTTAGTTGTAGGGAGTTTAATATTCTACTCACACCAATGGACAGGTAATCTAGGCAAATAATCAATAAGGAAAACACAGCTCTGAATGACACATTGGACCAGATGGACTTAACAGATATATTCAGAACTTTTCATCCTAATGCAGCAAAATACATATTCTTCTTGAGTGTACATGGACATTCTCCAAACAGATCACACACTGGGTAACAATATAGCCCTCAATAGTTACAAAAAGATCAAGATTGGGGTGCCTGCATCGCTCAGTCAGTTAAGCATCCAACTTTGGCTCAGGTCATGATCTCACAGTTGGTGGGTTCAAGCCCTGTGTCAGGCTCTGTGCTGACAGCTCAGAGTCTGGAGCTTGCTTTGGATTCTGTGCCTCCTTCTCATTCTGCCCCTCCCCCACTTGTTCTCTCTCTCTCTCTCTCTCTCTCTCTCTCTCTCTCTCTGTCAAAAATAAATAAACATTAAATTGAAAAAAAAACCATCAAGATCATACCATGCACATTTTCAGATCACAATGCTATGAAAATTGGAATAAACCATAAGATAAAAATTGAAAAATGCTAAATGCATTGAGGTTAAAGAAAAATCCTACTTAAGAATGAATGGGTTAACCAGGAAATTAAAGAAGACATTAAAAAATACATGGAAGCAAGTGAAAGTGAAAACACAAGGGTTCAAACCCTTTGGGATACAGCAAAAGCAGTCATAAGGGGAAAATACATTGCAATTCAGGCCTATCTCAAGAAACAAGAAAGGTCCCAAATACACAACCTAACCTTACAACTAAGGGAGCTAGGAAAGCAGCAGGAAATAAAGCCCAAAACCAGCAGAAGAAGGTAAATAATAAAGATTGGAGGATAAATAAAGAATATAGAATCCAAAAAACCAAAAAATTAGATCAAATCAATGAATCTAAGAGCTGGTCTTCTGAAAGAATAATAATAATAAAAAAATTCAATTAACCCCTAGCCAGACTTCTCAAAAAAAAAAAAAAAAGAGACAGGACCCAAATAGATAAAAGCATGAATGAAAGAGGAGAGATCACAGGCAACATCACAGAAATACAACAATAATAAGAGAATACTATGAAAAAAACATACGCCAACAAAATGTACAACCTGGAAGAAATGGACAAATTCCACACTCCCAAAACTCAAACAGGAAGAAATAGAAAATTTGAACAGACTCATAACCAGCAAGGAAATTGAACTGGTTATCTAAAACCTCACAATAAATAAGAGTCATGGGCCAGAAGGCTTCCCAGGGGAATTCTACCAGACTTTTAAAAAATGTATTTATTTATTTATTTATTTATTTTTTAATATATGAAATTTATTGTCAAATTGGTTTCCATACAACACCCAGTGCTCATCCCAAAAGGTCCCTTCCTTAATGCCCATCACCCACTTTCCCCTCTTCCCCATCCCCCATCAACCCTCAGCTTCTTCTCAGTATTTAAGAGTCTCTTATGGTTTGCCTCCCTCCCTCTCTTTAACTCTTTTCTTATGCTTTCCCTCCCCCATGGTCTTCTGTTAAGTTTCTCAGGATCCACATATGAGTGAAAACATATGGTATCTGTCTTTCTCTGCCTGACTTATTTCACCTAACATAATACCCTCTAGTTTCATCCACATTGCTGCAAATGGCCAGATTTCATTCTTTCTCATTGCCAATCTACCAGAGTTTTAAAGAACAGTTAATACTTATTATTCTCAAACTGTTCCAAAAAATAGAAATGGAAGAAAAGCTTCCAAACTTATTCTATAAAGCCAGCAATACCTTGATTCCAAAACCAGACAGACCCCAATTAAAAGGAGAATTACAAGCCAATATCTTTGATTAACATCAATGCAAAAATTCTCAACAAGATACTAGCAGATGGAATTCAACAGTGTATTGAAAGAATTATTCAGGGGTGCCTGGGTGGCTCAGTTGGCTAAGTCTCTGACTTTGGTTCAGATCATGAACTCATGGTTCATGAGTTCAAGCCCAGCACTGGGCTCTGTGCTGACAGCTCAGAGCCTGGAGTCTGCTTTGTATTCTGTGTCTCCTTCTCTCTCTGTTCCTCCCCTGCTCGCAATTTCTCTCTCTCTCTCTCTCTCTCTCAAAAAAATAAAGATTAAAAAAACTAAAAAATAATAATTATTCACCATGATCAAGTGGGATTCATTCCTGGGCTGCAGGGATGGTTAAATATTCACAAGTCAATCAATGTGATACACCACATTAATAGAAGAAAGGATAAGAACTATATGATCCTGTCAATAGATGTGGAAAACCTTTTGACAAAATACAGCATCTTTTCCTGATAAAAACCCTTAGGAAAATTGGAATAGAAGGAACACACTTTAACATCATAAAAGCCATATATGAAAGGCCCACAGCTAATATCATCCTCAATGGGGAAAAACTGAGTGCCCCATGAGATCAGGAATATGACAGGGACGTCCACTCACCACTGTTGTTTAACATAGTGTGGAAGTCCTAGCCTCAGCAATCAGACAGCCAAAAGAAATAAAAGGCATCCAAATTAGTAAAGAAGAAGTCAACATTCCTCTTCACAGATGACATATTCTACATTGAAAACCCAAATGACTGTACCAAAAAATTGCTAGAACTGATACATGAATTCAGCAAAGTCACAGGATATAAACTCAATGTACAGAAATCAGTTGTATTTATATACACCAATAATGAAGCAGGAGAAAGAGATATCAAGAATCAATCCCATTTACAATTGCATCAAAAACCATAAGATACCAAGGAATAATCCTAATCAAAGAGGTAAAAGATCCACATGCTTAAAAATATAGAAAACTTATGAAAGAAATTGAAGACACAAAGAAATGGAAAACCATTCCATGTTCATGGATTAGAAGAATCAATATTGTTAAAATGGTGATAATACCCAAAGCATTCTACACATTCAATGCAGTCCCTATCAAAATAACTCCAACATTCTTCACAGAGCTAGAAAAAATAATTCTAGGGTTTGTATAGAACCAGAAAAGACCCTGAACAGCTAAAGTAATGTTGAAAAAGAAAACCAAAGCTGGAGCAATCACAATTCTGGACTTCAAGCTGTATTAAAAAGCTGTAATCATCAAGACAGTATGGTACTGGCACAAAAATGGACACATAGACCAATGGAATAGAATATAGAACCCGGAAATGCACCCACAAATATATGGCCAACTAATCTTTGACAAAGCAGGAAAGAACATCCAATGGGAAATAGACTGTCTCTTTAGGAAATGGTGCTGGGAAAACTGGACTGTAACACGGAGAAGAATGAAACAGGACCACTTTCTTACACCATACATAAAAATAAATTCAAAACGGATGAAAGACAGGATGTGAGACAGGAAACCATCAAAATCCTAGAGAAGAAAACAGGCAAAAACCTCTTTGACCTTGGCGACATGAACTTCTTACTTAACATGTCTCCGGAGGCAAGGGAAACAAAAGCAAAAATGAACGATTGGGACCTCAAGACAAAAAGCTTCTGCATGGTGAAGGAAACAATCAAGAAAACTAAAAGGCAACTGACAGAGTGGAAGATATTTGCAAATGACATATCAGGTAAAGGGTTAGTATCAAAAATCTACAAAGAACTTATCAAACTCAACACCCAAAAAACAAATAATCCAGTGAAGAAATGGGCAAAAGACATGACTAGACACTTCTCCAAAGAAGACATCCAGATGGCCAACCGACACATGAAAAAATGCTCAACATCACTCATCATCAGGGAAATACAAATCAAACCACCATGAGATACCACCTTCCACCTGTCAGAATGGCTAACATGAACAACTCAGGCCACAACAGATGTTGGTGAGGATGCAGAGAAAGAGGATCTCTTTTACATTGTTGGTGGGAATGCAAGCTGGTGCAGCCACTCTGGAAAACAGTATGGAGATTCCTCAAAAAACTAAAAATAGAACTACCCTACTACTACTAGGCATTTATCCATGGGATACAGGTGTGCTGTTTCAAAGGGACACGTGCACCCCCATGTTAATAGTAGCACTATCAATAATAGCCAAAGTATGGAAAGAGCCCAAATGTCCATTGATGGATGAATTGATAAAGAAGATGTGGTATATATATACAATGGACTATTACTTGGCAATCAAAAAGAATGAAATTTTGCCATTTGCAACTATGTGGATGGAACTGGAGGGTACTATGGTAAGTGAAATTAGTCAGAGAAAGACAAAAATCGTATGACTTCACTCATATGAGGACTTTAAGAGACAAAACAGATGAACATACGGGAAGGGAAACAAAAATAATAGAAAAAACAGGGAGGGGGACAAAACAGAAGGGACTCATATATGAAGGACAAACTGAGGGTTACTGGAGGGGTTGTGGGAGGGGGGATGGGCTAAATGGGTAAGGGGCACTAAGGAATCAACTCCTAAAATCATTGTTGCACTATATGTTAACTGATTTGGATGTAGATTAAAAAAAAAAAAGAAAAAAGAAAAGAAAAAAATCCATATGGACATGAGACCGGGGAAGATGGAGCTTCAGGACAGGACCATGATAGGTGTTGGGGAGTAAATTCACAACTCTGAGGGACTCTTGACCAAACATGTTGGGCACATTGCAGACCCTGAGTGCTTCACATAGACATCAAGTGTGCACTTCCCATGGACACATCTCAGTCCATTCTCCTCAGCACAGCAGGTGGAATGAGGTGACCACTCTCATGTCCCTCGTGTCCCTCTTTGGGTTCAGTGTTCAATCTCCAGCTCCTGCATCCTGAGCCCCTGCAGCCTGCTGCATGGACTACCCTGCATAGCCAGCTCACTAAGGCCACTTAGTGGTTCAGGGGCTAAAGTTCCTGCCAGGTAGGTCACCCCCAGGGCTCCCTGAGTCTCTGGCTAGCTGGCCTTGGGGATGCAGGAGTAACTTCTTCCCAGAACCCTCCAGAATCATATGGTGACTCTACAAGATACAGTCTCTGGCTTGTTTTTCAGGTGGACTTGTAGGTCATTGGGGAAGCAGTTCTCCCAGCCAGGACAGCTGTGAGGACACTGCAGACACAGGATGAGGCTGGAGATGTCTCTGTATTCAAACAGGACAGGACAGTCCATGAGCTGGCATCTCCCCACATCCCGGGCTTTCCGGCTCCTTCAGCATAAGCTACTGGGCATAACAAGAGCTTGGACAAAGGTGGGTGTAATGGCAGATTAACTGGCTTCTCACCTTGAGTAATGAACAGGTAGCTATTTTAACTATTCTAGTGCCCTTTATCTTATAAGTTAAATTTCCGCTGCCTGTCACCATCTCTGCTCCCACGTTTCTTCAACCACATGATCATTAAGGGAAAGTCTTTGATGCCTTGCGACTCTTAAGGTCTCAGTGGGGCTGATGTCAGCTGGCTGTGCCAGCTGTGGGTGAAGATCTTCCTGGGATAAGCAATGCTCATATAGTAAGAAACGGACTGCAGCCTCTGGTCCCTGCTGAATCCTCTACTGAGAGAAAGGGATCTCAGCTATACTGAGAGCCAACATCAGAGTCTCACTCACCGAGAGCCAGGTTGGACCCTCAGCCCCCAGAACTCCTCCACCTACACATCCACTAACAGACCCAGACTGGACCCTGTGGGACTTCCAGCACCATCAGCATCAGCACCAGAACCTGGACTCCCCACCCTCAGTGCAGTCAGGGATGGGGTCACAGGAAATCATAGGACATAGGATTTGGAGATGGGGTGTGGTGATAGCTCTCAATCTGTCCCCCAGCATGGAGCCTCCGTCCTCAGGAAGAAAGGGGTCTGGCCATGACCAAGGCTCCAGGGAACCCATGGCTCCCTCTGGGCACTAATAGATCTGGGTTTTCAGAATCCTAAGCCCACCACAACCAAGCATGCATGAGAAGAAGGAGCATGGAGGAGCACCATGAATTTGGAATCCTTAGCTTGAGGCCTTGTCTCTTCCTCACAGTCGGTTGTGTGCTGCTGGTACAAGGCACCAGATATCCTTGGACTGAGTTCCCAGAATGAACTGCTAAATGAAAACCCAGTCCCTTTCTCCTGACCCCTTGAAGAGCAAAATCTTCACCTGGGGTCATCATGCAGGTGCACTGGGCAGGAGGAGCAGGTGGCCTGCTGATGAGTCAGAATTAGCTGGATTCCTTGTTCCTGGTTTCCTTCCCCACTCGGTTGTCTCTGTAAGGTAGTGATTTTGTGCACGTGGCTTCCATTTACTTTTCCAGAGCAAACAAGTCATTAATGTAAACGATCTTGGCAGCAGCAGTGAAACCTCCTGATGTGTTGGATTGTCACTTTATGGCCATGAAAAAAACCTTCTGAGAAAGTGCCAAGGAGGTGTGATTACCCCATGCTCTGGTTTCCAAGAACTCCCTGGGTCTCATAAAGGGAACACACTGCACTGAGATCACATGGAATTTGTGTTCTCCAGGATTAAGAGACAGCTTCTGTGATGCTGACCCAGATGGTGGCTCACCTGACACCTCACTTCCTCCTGCACAGGGGTCTTCACATCAGTGTCCATCTGCACCTGGAGGAACAGGGTCAGATGATGGGAGTCCCCAGAGTCCCTGCAGGTAAGTGAAGAAGACTGGTGTGACTGAGCCTCACGCACTGTTGTGGCCTGTCCACCCACTAGGTCCTTGCCAGCATGTCTCAGGTCTTGGCTCCCATCAGAAGCAGGTGAAAGCACGTTCCCCATCTCCAGAGTGGGTCATTCCCTGTGATGGGATGGAACATGCAAACCTGCATTTCCATCCAGCTGCTTCCCAGGACCTCCACACTGACCCAGGGCCATCTCACCCCTCAGCAGTGGTCACAACCTCACTCACCTCCAGGCCCTCTATGTCAACTTCACTCTGACATCACACCAAAAATTTTAGGAACACTTTTCACATAGTTTCCCCACATCTTTTTGGTAACCTGAAATCTTAAATTAGGGTGAATTTAAGGGTGAAGTTAAATTATCTACTGCATATCTGGACCATTTCCAAATAAGATGAAATAACGAAACGTTCATTAGTGAACACAGGGTTACATACTTTTGGCTTTGCCAATACAGAGAAACTTAAGATAAATTTGGGTCTCTTAGTAAACATGTCTTGTGCTTTAATGAAAGATTTTACTGAAGAAGAACACATTTCTAGGACTTATGAAATATATTCAGAAAGTTTCCCCTCGAACAGATGGTGGTACAGCTCACAGTTCACAATTACTTACCACTTAGTTCTGTTAGGAATTAAGGGCTAAGAATTCTATATCCGGTTGAGGTTACTAGAATGAATAAGGGAAACATCTCTCTTTGCAGAAAAGTAGGATGCTTGCTTTAAAGAAAATCAAAGGAAATCATTTTATGTTAAAGAAAAGCAAAAGCAGTTTCTGAAAGTGAGGCTGATTATTTAAGGAGGGAAAACTTAGGACAAAATCTGAATTAAAAATAATTGTAGAAGTTTTGTGGAAAAGGAATCTTTGAGAACAAATTTTAGTGCATGGTCAAGCTGGTTAAGATAAAAATGAATTTGAATTAGGGGAAGATGGCGGCGTAGGAGGACGCTGGGCTCACTGCGCGTCCTGCTGATCACTTAGATTCCACCTACACCTGCCTAAATAACCCAGAAAACCGCCAGAAGACTAGCAGAATGGAGTCTCTGGAGCCAAGGGCAGATGAGAGGCCCACGGAAGAGGGTAGGAAGGGTGGCGAGGCAGTGCGTGCTCCACAGACTGGTGGGACTGGTGGCACTGGTGGGAGGGAGCGGGGGCAGAGGGGCGGCCCACCTGCCAAGCAGAGCCCCCCAGTCTGGCTTGAAAAAACGGAGGGGCCGGAAGGAGTGTGTTCCGTTCCGACAGCAAGCAAGACTTGACATCTGGAAGGTTATAAGCTAACAGCTCTGCTCGGAGAACGGGAGGGCTGGAGGACAACGGGAGGGAGAGTTGTTGAGCCCCAGACGAAAGAGCTCAGCTTGGGGGGGAACAAAGGTGCTCACCAGCGCCATCTCCCTCACCCATCTCCCAGCCAAAATCCCAAAGGGAACCAGTTCCTGCCAGGGAATTTGCTTGCACCGCGCAAACACCCAACGCTGTGCTTCTACGGATCCATCCCTCTGGTGGGTCTGACTCCCTCCCGGTGCCTCAGGGCCCCTCCTGAAGCGGATCTCCCAAGGAAAAGCGAGCTGAGCCTGCCCCTCCCGACCCTGTGCACCTTGCTGATCCACCCCAGCTAATATGCCAGATCCCCAGCACCACAAGCCTGGCAGTGTGCAAGTAGCCCAGACAGGGGCCACACCACTCCACAGTGAGTCCTGCCCCTGGGAGAGGGGAAGAGAAGGCACACACCAGTCTGACTGTGGCCCCAGCGGTGGGCTGGGAGCAGACATCAGGTCTGTCTGCGGCCCTGCCCACCAATGCAAGTTATTCAAGACAGCACAGGGGAAGTGCCCCACAGTCCCGCAGCACTCAAGGGACTATCCAAAATGACCAAACGGAAGAATTCCCCTCAGAAAAATGTCCAGGAAATAACAACAGCTAACGAACTGATCAAAAATGATTTAAACAATATAACAGAAAGTGAATTTAGAATAATAGTCATAAAATTAATTGCTGGCTTGAAAACAGTATAAAGGAAAGCAGAGAATCTCTTGCAACAGAGATCAAGGGACTAAGGAACAGCCAGGAGGAGCTAAAAAATGCTATCAATGAACTGCAAAATAAAATGGAGACAACTATGGCTTGGATTGAAGAGGCAGAGGAGAGAATAGGTGAACTAGAAGATAAAACTATGGAAAAAGAGGAAGCTGAGAAAGAGAGATAAAAAAATCCAGGAGTATGAGGGGAAAATTAGAGAACTAAGTGATGCACTAAAGAGAAATATTATATGCATAATTGGTATTCCAGAGGAGGAAGAGAGAGGGAAAGGTGCTGAAGGTGTACTTGAAGAAATAATAGCTGAGAACTTCCCTGATCTGGGGAAGGAAAAAAGCATTGAAATCCAAGAGGCACAGAGAACTCCCTTCAGATGTAACTTGAATCGATCTTCTGCACGACATATCGTAGTGAAACTGGCAAAATACAAGGATAAAGAGCAAATTATGAAAGCAGCTAGAGATAAATGTGCTCTAACATATAAAAGGAGACCTATAAGACTCGTGACCGATCTCTCTACTGAAACTTGGCAGGCCAGAAAGGAATGGCAGGAGATCTTCAATGTGATGAACAGAAAAATATGCAGCCAAGAACCCTTTATCCAGCAAGTCTGTCATTTAGAATAGAAGGAGAGATGAAGGTCTTCCCACACAAACAAAAACTGAAGGAATTCGTCACCACTAAACCAGCCCTACAAGAGATCCTAAGGGGGATCCTGTGAGACAAAGTAGCAGAGACATGGCTACAAGCATGAAACCTATGGACATCCCAATGACTCTAAACCCATATCTTTCTATAATAACACTGAATGTAAATGGACCAATTGCTCCAACCAAAAGACATAGGGTATCACAATGGATAAAAAAACAAGACCCATCTATTTGCTGTCTACAAGAGACTCATTTTAGACCTGAGGACACCTTCAGATTGAGAGTGAGGGGATGGAGAACTATTTATCATGCCACTGGAAGTCAAAAGAAAGCTGGAGTAGGCATACTTATATCAGACAAACTAGACTTTAAATTAAAGGCTGTAACAAGAGATGAAGAAGGGCATTATAGAATAATCACAGGGTCTATCCATCAGGAAGAGGTAACAATTATAAGTGTCTATGCGCCGAATACAGGAGCCCCCAAATATATAAAACAATTAATCACAAACATAAGCAACCTTATTCATAAGAATGTGGCAATTGCAGGGGACTTTAACACTCCACTTACAGAAATGGATAGATCATCTAGACACACAGTCAATAAAGAAACAAGGGCCCTGAGTGATACATTGGATCAGATGGACTTGACAGATATATTTAGAACTCTGCATCCCAAAGCAACAGAAAATACTTTCTCCTCGAGTGCACATGGAACATTCTCCAAGGTAGATGACATACTGGGTCACAAAACAGCCCTTCATAAGTATACAAGATTTGAGATCATACCATGCATACTTTCAGACCACAATGTGATGAAGCTTGAAATCAACCACAGGAAAAAGTCTGGAAAACCTCCAAAAGCATGGAGGTTAAAGAACATCCTACTAAAGAATGAATACGTCAACCAGGCAATTAGAGAAGAAATTAAGAAATATATGGAAACAAATAAAAATGAAAATACAACAATCCAAACGGTTTGGGATGCAGCGAAGGCAGTCCTGAGAGGAAAATAGATTGCAATCCTGGCCTATCTCAAGAAACAAGAAAAATCCCAAATACAAAATCTAACAGCACACCTAAAGGAAATAGAAGCAGAACAGCAAAGACACCCCAAATCCAGCAGAAGAAGACAAATAATAAAGATCAGAGCAGGAGTTAACAATATAGAATCTAAAAAAACTGTAGAGGAGATCAATGAAACCTAGTTGGTTTTTTGAAAAAATAAACAAAATTGATAAACCTCTAGCCAGGCTTCTCAAAAAGAAGAGGGAGAGGACCCAAATAGATACAATCATGAATGAAAATGGAATTATTACAACCAATCCCTCAGAGATACAAGCAATTATCAGGGAATACTATGAAAAATTATATGCCAACAAACTGGACAACCTGGAAGAAATGGACCAATTCCTAAACACCCACTCGCTTCCAAAACTCAATCAGGAGGAAATAGAAAGGTTGAACAGACCCATAACCAGCGAAGAAATTGAATCAGTCATCAAAAATCTCCCAACAAATTAGAGTCCAGGACCACATGGCTTCCCAGGGGAGTTCTACCAGATGTTTAAAGCAGAGATAATGCCTATCCTTCCCAAGCTGTTCCAAGAAATAGAAAGGGATGGAAAACTTCCGGATTCATTCTATGAAGCTAGTATTACTTTGATTCCTAAACCAGAGACCCAGTAAAAAAAGAGAACTACAGGCCAATATCCCTGTTGAATATGGATGCAAAAATTCTCCATAAGATACTAGCAAATTGAATTCAACAGCATATAAAAAGAATTATTCAGGGGCGCCTGGGTGGCGCAGTCGGTTAAGCGTCCGACTTCAGCCAGGTCACGATCTCGCGGTCAGTGGGTTTGAGCCCCGCGTCAGGCTCTGGGCTGATGGCTCAGAGCCTGGAGCTTGTTTCCGATTCTGTGTCTCCCTCTCTCTCTGCCCCTCCCCCGTTCATGCTCTGTCTCTCTCTGTCCCACAAATAAATAAAAACGTTGAAAAAAAAATTAAAAAAAAAATAGAATTATTCACCATGATCAAGTGGGATTCATTCCTGGGATGCAGGGCTGGTTCAACATTTGCAAATCAATCAATGTGATACATCACATTAATAAAAAAAAAGATAAGAACCATATGATCCTGTCAATCGATGCAGAAAAGGCCTTTGACAAAATTCAACACCCTTTCCTAATAAAAACCCTCAAGAAAGTAGGGATAGAAGGAACATACTTAACGATCATCAAAGCCATTTATGAAAAGCCCACAGCTAACATCATCCTCCATGGGGAAAAACTGAGAGCTTTTTCCCTGAGATCAGGAACACGACAGGGATGTCCACTCTCACCACTGTTGTTTAACATAGTGTTGGAAGTTCTAGCATCAGCAATCAGACAACAAAAGGAAATCAAAGGCAT